ACCCCTCCTACCAGGGCCTGCCTGGCTAGAGAGGAGATGGTCAACATGCATACTCAAGTCCGTATGAACCTCTGGGTCTGTATGTCTGCTACATATATGCATGCACATTGAAGATGTGAGTTGTAGCGCTCACTGGGGGACAGACGGAGGGCAGCTGCCACACCTATATGAAGTGGCAATAAGAATAAAGCCAGCACAGCTGTGCTTATATGTTGCTCAGCTGTCTCAGGGTCCTGGCGCTTCTCCCTGGCCCCTGCCCGAGGGGTACAGTGTCACTGTGCTCGGCCGCACAAAAATGTAGGTCTGCTTCTCCTTTGGGTCCCTGCAAGACCCCCACACACAGCCCCACAGAATGCTCAGATGCACACTGACTGGCACCCATCACTCCATCACCCCACACCCCAGACAGATGATGTGCCCTGTCTGGCCCCCACCATCGTTCTGCCTGACAGAGCTGAGCACGGCTCCCTCCCTTCCTGGCCTCTCCTCTCTACACCCAAAGGGCCTCACAGGTTCGTTTGAAAAGGCCAATTTATTTCATTTCCACAGAACGATGCTCTCACAAGGTCACAGTTGGCTGGAACAATGCCCAGCCCACAGACAGAGCAAAGGGCCTTTCTGAGCCCTGAGGGCTGGGGGTACAGACAGGGGAGCACCCCTGGCTCAGGCCTGGTGTTGCAGTGGGCACAGGCGAGGTGCCTCTGGGAGGAAGAAGAGGCACCTGGGGTTGCTGCTTTTGTGGCCGGGAGGACCTGACACCTCCAACCAGCCTCCCTGGGGTCCTGATCTCTGCACCCGGCAGTCTCCCCCATCCCCACTGCCCTCAGGGTCCCCATCCCTTCCATCATGCCCACCCCACCTCCAATGTGACCGGCGGGCTGTGGTGCCAGACCAGCCTTCAGGACAGGCTCAGGAGAGCAGAGGTAGAGTCTGGGAGGGGCTCAGATTCCCAGAGTCACCAGACACCGGTGGAGTGAAAAGAGGACCCAGACTCGTGGTTGGCTTCAGAGGAAGCCAGACACACAGTGGGACCTTCGCATGGGAAGATTCTGTACTCTGAGGGATGCCTCTGACACTGGGCTCCCCACTACTGAGGCTTAAGGGAAGATCCTCCTGGAACACCCTGCTCTGAAGAAGGTGCGGGTGGCAGTCGGTGTCCTGCAGGGCAAAGAGCAGGAGGGGTGCCCAGAGCTCAGGCCACACGAGGGCACTGGGCACGCTGCCAGCCGGCCCTGGAGGGCAGAGGAAGGTATCAGCACTAGCCTGGGCCCCTTCCAAAATGCATGGGAAGGGAGAGGCCCCCAGCAACGCCCCCAGGGAGGCCCAGAATCAGGCCAGTGTGGCCAGCACCACCCCAGGACAGCAGCTCGGTGACACCAGGCCTGGGACATTCTCCCAGTGCCCAGTGCTGAGGCCATGGTCGGTCGCTCCCCAGCCAAGACCATTGACCGCCTGGCCCAGCCTATACCCTGGTCAATGCCTGGGCCACTAGGGCCAAGGAGGACGAGGCCACCACTTGCCAGGCCTGGCCTCTCTGTGTCACGCCTCTGGTTTCCAGGAGCTGTGAACTGACCCCTCCCGACCCCACGAACACCCCGAATCCCAAAATTCATCCCCAATGCAGCCTCTCTTCATGGCTGCTGACCACCATCCCCGACCTTGTGGGCCTCAAGCTCCACGAATGTGACGAACTGTGGCTACCACCAGCCCCAGGCTCCCTCGAGACACACCCGTAGATCCCCCGCCGCCATCCCCAAACTCTGGCTGAAGAGGAGTGTGAGATATCTCAGCAGGGCTCCCTGACCCCAGACTCAACATCCACATGGCACAGCCCATGGAAGGGCAGCTCGGGGCCCATCCACCGTGTACCCGCAGGCTGGCGACATCAGGGTACTCAGGGCGACTGCCCAGGCTCCTGTCCTAACCAAGAGACTTGACAGAGCAACTCTCATGAAAGAAGGCAGACTGTGAGTGTGGGGTGACAGTCTTGCGACCCCACAGGCAGAGGGCACGGTCTCGATGGGCAGCCACATCTCCCCAGACTGAAAACGCACAGTGACCAGGTGCGGTGGCTCACATCTGTAACCTGAGCACTTTGGGAGGCCGAGGTAGGCTGAAGCTCAGGGGTTCGAGACCAGCCTGGGCAACATGGTGAAACCTGTCTCTACAAAAAAATACAAAAATTAGCCAGGCATGGTGGCACATGCCTGTAGTGCCAGCTACTTGAGAGGCTGAGGTGGGAGGATCACCTGAGCCCAGGGAGGTCACGGCTGCAGTGAGCCATGATAGCACCACTGCACCCCAGCCTGGGCGACAGACAAGACCCCGTCTCAAAAGAGAAAGAAAGGGAAGAAAACACACAGACCCTCTGGCCTGACACGTCTCCGCTGGGGAGCGGCCCTGAGACTGGCGGCTGCTCGCGTCAGCTGTGGCACTGCCTGCAAAGCACGCCCAGAAGCCGCCGAGCTGCACACACGGGGGTTGAATAAGCCAGGGTGCGTCCAGCAGGGAAGAAAAGCGGGGAGAAGGGAAGGACTCGAAGACCAACCCAGAGCAGAGCGCGGCGCTCACCACCTCTGCAGGACAGCATGAGAGACGCGTGCCAGGGTGCGGACGTTTTCCCGGCAGCCTTTCACAGCTTGCCTAGGTTGAGTTCCTCTTTTAGCAAAAGACAAAAAAAGAAGGTGGGTTGCCTGTGGCCAACAAGTTCTGCTTCCACCTGAGAGCATACAGACCCCCAGACCCCCACACTCAGCCAAGGACACGTAGACACACTCAAGATACAACGCAGAGCTCACCCACAGAAACCCCCATGCAGGCAGACGCAGGCCCACACACATGTACATGTCCTTACTGGCACCCACACACACACAGGACACACAGGCACACACATGTACATGTCCT